GGTTACGGGCGGGGAGAAAAAACGGTGGCAATGATCAGTGCGGCATGAAGGCATTCGTGACGGGCAGAATGGCGAATAACAGCGGCGTTGCGAATGATCACGGCCACGGTAGTTGTGAGCTCCGCTGCACCACTCCACCAAATGTGCAAAATGAGAATGAATCTTCTACGAGAACATGGGCAAATACATTGCCCCTTTTTCCCTTCGCGCAGCTCTTACATCCTACACCTTCAAAACTAGCCCTCTATTGTCGAAACTAACACCACTAATCGATTCGTAGTGTCCGAAAACCCCTACTTAAGATCCTGCCTCGCCCGATTCTATAGAGGATCGGGGAAGATATCAGATTTTCTCTTCCCACCATGTTTACTCTCCACCACCTCCGCGCAACAGCTTTTTCTTCTCATTCACCATCTACTAACCTATACTCTAAACTAACCTCGCCATTCGTCTCGCCTCGGGGCAAAACCCCAAGATCGGTTCCTTCCTTGCCGACATCGGTCGAGAGATAGCAGAGCCAACAAAATCTCACTCCCGTTCACCCCTTCTTCCGCCACAGCTCGGCGCAGTAGATTTCCAAACTACCTCTCTCCTTACTCACTCCAGTGCCAAACTAGGACCGGATTCGGGGTCGCAGCCCCCCAAAACCCCTGTCTAGGCTCTTACCTCACTTGATTCTGTCAAGAATCGAGCGCGGTACACATCCTCCCGTCCGCCATAGCCTTGCTCCCCGACATTCCCCTCGTCGAATGCATTGGGGACGAACCTGGGTCCAGGTTCGTTCAGCCCCTTTCCTTTCCGACTAACAGTGCTACACTCCCTCCACTGCGCCTGATCAACCTCCTCGCTATCTCCACCTTTGTTTGCACGTACCCGGCCCCGCCTCCTGTCCGGGTTCACCCCGCTTTTATCTGCCCTCTGCCTTCGCCCTTCCTGGCCCCGTCACTATGCCCGTCATTTCGAGCCCAGCGCAGCGCCTGTTCCCACTGCTTACTTGTATCCTACGTCGCTGCTGCATCTGTCACGAGGCGGTGCTCACCGTCCCGCCATGCTCATCCCCCCCGGTCTGCTCTGCCTTACCAATCTTCGAATGTACCCGGCGCGAATTCGCGCCAAGTTCATCTCGTTTTCCCTCCGCCTTCGCCTCAGTTTCCTTCTCACCACGGGTAGTACAGCACCCGCTCGTCACTTTCGCCCCACCTCCCTCCTTGCCTGTTCTCCGCCGCTCGACGTCTCTCCCTCTTTCCTGGCTGCGCTCGGTCCCACTCGCTTCCTCGATGCCAACGCAGGCTCCGGCAGCGACCAGCGCAGCCTGGTGTGGCCGACTCCCCTGGCTATTATGAGGGAGACCTTTGCCCCTATACCCAAGTCCGATAGAATCAAGCACCGGGCAGCGCTTCTATCCTCCCACAATGCTTTGTTCCGCCTCATTCCGCGCGATGCTGCTGTTTTCCCCGTTGTCCGACCCTGTGGCCCGTCAGTACCAAACTAAGCGGCCCGCCCGCTGCGTCCAGCCTCCAGGGTGCTCCGTGCCTGCCCTCTCGTAGCGCCTGGTAGGTGCAGTGGCCCGGCCTGATAGCTCACCAGTCCCAGTCTCTCCGCCCTTCCGCCTAAAGGCAAGGCCCGCCACCCCTACGGCTTTGCAATAGACTAGTCTCATCTTAGTTTCTCTCGACAACCCGCAAGGTCGCAGATGTGGGCCAACTCTGCAAGCCTAGGCGTGGCTTGGCTGAGAATGGGTCCGGTGCCGATCTCGGCAGCAGTAGCAAACATTCAAATGAGAACTTTGAAAGTCGTCGTGGGGGAAGGGTTCTATGGGACAGGTCGCTCCGCACAGCCCTGCGGCCCCTACCACCGTGTCGTGAACTACTCCTGTTCAACCCTACCACAGTCGTCCGCGGGGGACGGACGGTGCCCGTGCGGAGGGTCCATATTTATTAGTCAGTTTCTCTTCCGCCTCGGGGCTAATCACCCACCAGTTCGCATGCACGTTCAACTCCTCGGTCCATGTTGCAACGCAGGTGGGATAACAAAATTTTATTGGCATCCTAGACACAAAGGAGCACCCAAACGGCTTCGCAAATAGATGCGAGTGGTCAAAGTCCGCAACTACCGTGACGGCCACCCGTACCTGGCAATACCGTACTGGAGCCAGACGAGTTGGCCCCGACGTCTATCTCGGAACTGATCAGCCAATCAAAGGCACTTAGAAATTTTTTAGAAGTAGAAGGAAATAATAAGGACACGGGCCAATGAACGGGACGGAGGGTAGCGCGTCCCGCCGGCCCGTGACGCCGCGCCCACTCAGGCCACTCATGGCTGCGCCTCGCCGTCAATACCCTGCGTGCTCACCCTGACGATGACCTAGGGCCCCTCTCGCGTGCACCCCACCGGGCGGGCGAAACCGCCCTTGTGACTTGCAAAAAGCACGCCAAATACCCTTGTAAGGGTATTTTGTACGACAGTCTTCCCGGACCCTATTAAGCGACGTCCCCGTTGCAGCAAGCAATCACGACGAGTATCGTCCACATATAGTTCTCAGAAGAAATACATGATAACTTCCTCAGCCTTTAACTCGCCGCTAAGGCAGTCATTAAGCCGCATCAACTCTAGAACTCGGTTCCTCGAGACAACGTGGGCAGAAGTCAAAGGTTGGAAAATACTACTCAATTCCTGATCAAAGAAAATAAAAGCCTACAACAGCCAAATAATCGGCCAAGCGCAAACACTCCTCCATTTCTAACTTAACAAAGTGGATAAACCCACTCTGCACCCACTTCAATCATGGATAGGAAGTCGTCCAATGCCAAACTTAAGACTGTACCTTTCCGGTCCCTTTGAGCGATATTTCGTCGCGCTGGGCACCCTGATCATCCTACCACAGGACAAAACTCAAATTCAGTAGTGGGTCAAAACTCAGGATTTCAGTATTTATTTAGACTCTTTTCTCTTTTGCACATTAATTACTCAAGCTCAACCGATCTATATACTCTTTATCTTCACAAACCCTCTCTCAGAAGAAACGTCTCCTCGTGGGATTTAATCAGGCGCCCCAATCTTTCAGCTAATCTAGAAGATTGGGGTGTTTGACCCCATCATACATACCACAAATGTTCCTTATGGGCAGGGTCCCGTTAAGCCCAGTCCCACAAGGCACTATTATCATGTATAGGCCATTCACTTTAACCACTCACAAAAACAGACAGTCAAGGGTATCCATTAAGCCGCTAAACAAATAAATGGAACCCATGCCTTCTCCTCATAAATCTTTCTTCGGTAAGTAAGGTCCTTCTCTTTTCATCACATACTTTGTCAATCTCGCCCATAAGTTCTGCTCAATGAGCAAACCCTCATATTTTTCTTCCAAATAAAACTTACTTTTACTTTTCAAAATCTCACACTTATTGCCAACACCACTTTCAACAACACCATAGCCGATTGGAGGGCCCCACAATCAGGCCGATCCTTCCTGCCGTGGATGGCACTCCCACCGGCTACCAGCAAAAACTTAATCATGCCGTTTCTCTCAAGGAGTCTTAATCATGGAAGTCCCCGTCACAGACTAGACCGCGTGTGACCCATAACAAGCTGAGTAAAGGACTCACAACCAGCCTTACCAGCTTTTACGTGACTACGCAAGCAGGGATGCCGATTTGAACGGATTTGTCCTTACCCCCTGCCACACACAGAACCACCCGGGACTCACAGCCACTGGCCGGGTAAGGGCTTTCTTACATGACAGGTTTCCTTGCCGCAGATGACACACTTACTGGCAGCTGAGGCCCAGCAGAGTGGAACTGTCGATTTGGCCGGAGATAACACTCTAATTCCATTTAAAAAAAACAAAACAAAAAAAATTAAGCCACCCCCTTCCTCCCAAGGGTGAGCCCTCCATAAAAAATTTTAAGACCCCTTTCTACTTTGATGAAGAACCACCCGTAAAAATCTCTCAGCCATCCTCCCACTCATGGATGGATTTGTTTATATAGCCTTAAAACATTCCTCACTCGAAAATACCCCTCAAACTTTATCTGGACTCTTTGAGCCTTCCAGAAACACCCCACAAATAATCACGCTTTCTTCACTTCACCATCAATTCAGGCAACACATAAAAAACTCACAACGCCACTTTGATGAGAGTGCCAATGACAACCAAAACACGCACGATCCTGCAACCCGGGGGAATCAAAACTCATAAAAGAAAAATAATTCCCAGAAGAAAATCAAGTCATACAAAGTCTCACATCCTTACAAATCTCAAGTTGTCACAATTTCATACCCCAATTAACAAAAGACCTTGTATAGCGTATCACTTAGGTCATTTACGCAAAATAATCTCAGATGTTCTCGCACAATTAGGTAAGCGTTTGGCGTACAGACGAGAACCTCTTAAAAGATCTCCACTCATATTTGACAAAAAGCTAAAATCAGTTTAAAGAGAGGATAATCAAATCCAAAATATACGCATAACCCCAAAAGGTAAAAACGCACCCTCAATATCAGAAATATATACAAGAAAGGACCTATGTCTCATGAAACTCATAGGTTTGGAAACCATAGCAACATAAGCAGGTAATCGCTCATTAGTCCTATCAATCGAGCCTACCGCGTTGTCATGACCCTTTCGAGTGCCTATCTATTAGTCACTTAGGATCGCTGACACCATCCTCATCTAGGCAGACAACCTCACCCCTCAATTCCTTTCTTTGCCATCTTACATCTGCGAGGGGTATGACCAGTCTTCCCACAACAAGCACATACTATCATCGCTCACCGTTCTCGCCCTCTTCTATTCCTTCGCCCAGTTCGACTTATAGCCGACGATGTTCCCTTGTCGTCACACTCCTTACTAAGATCAGATGCAGTGTGCGGAAGGAGCATACCAACTTCTCCCTGAACTCCTTGCTCCTCTATTCCTTCCTCGTTTGGAGCGTCAAGCGTCCTCTCACAGGTATGAGTTACATCAACTCTCACTCTAGCCGGTATCCCTTTCCTCTCACCTCCCGACTCATTCTTCTTCTCTCTGCTCCACCTGTGATTTCGCCTGACGAGCTCAACGCTCTTCTGGGTTCCATCTTTCTTAGCATCAGAGGTGCCTACTGCCGGATCATTCGACCCCTTTTCAAGCTCACTCTTCTCACTATCCAACGCCTTCCTTCTTTTCCTCGCTTCCCGCAGAGTATGGCAGAGGTACTGGTCGAAATCCTCATGTTCAAGGTTCTCTCGGATCTTATCCCAGACTAGTCTCCCCTCTGTTCCACGAATCAAATCTCGCTGTTCTGCATTCGTGAAGTTCATGAGGAAGACAAAGCATTTGTCATGTTTTGACAGTGCCCAGACCTTACGCGATGCGTGCTCATACTCTGCCAAGAAGTGCCCCACTGACACATAACTATACCGATCTATCTTCTCAAGATCGTCTTTGGTCAGTTGTTCCTCCCCTAGCCGGTACTTATTCCACATGTTATCTTATAACTTTCTCCACGATGACCCTGCTCTTCTAACCAACCCACTGACTTCCTCCTTCAAACCTACATGGATATACTTTATCACTTCTTTCAGCATTTGTTCCTCATTCCATTTGCAGTGGGACGCTATCTTTTCAAACTTGTCGAGGAAGTCAGAAACATGATCGTCTCTGAAGAAGTCGATCTCAACCTTGGGCAGGTTATCTCGCTCTCAATCTCGCCATTCCAACAAGGAAGCGAGTTCCTCGGCCTCGATCTTTCCTTGAGAACCCTCCATCTCGAGCTCCCTCAACCCCCCCACCTGTCGAATAACAACGAGCGGCGTTAGGGTCGAGATTCGAGAGGGGTTACGTGACTAAGTCAAATATAAGACATATTCCACTAAATTATTTCGACACTTCACTGCAAAAACGCACATAAGAATCTATCTAAAACAATGGCGATACCGAAGAGAGTCTCCAAGTAAATATCCCTCACAAATAAAACACAAACATTCACTAATAAATCCCTTCAATCACAACTCAGGCATTAACCACTTATGATTGTCATTATCAAGGCAAGGCGCGATGTACATATGTCACATAAGTAGATACTCCAAACACGAATACAAAAAGCAGTACAACCGATGATAAATAACATATATTGATAACGATAATTTTTACATGACAAACTCAAATTACTTGTAAGGGTTGTAACTGATGGGCACAATATGCTTTACAAATAACCATATGAACGCAACTCAACTGCTAGTTATATAACAAGATAACTCTCGATAACGTATTTCCGTATCCTATAATGCAGAAGTAGGACTGACAATGAGTGAATAACATGATACAATTGTTACCCCTTCAACTGTTAAGCGAAGCATATATTATAGAGGGGCGGTGTAATCCTTATAAGATAACATCTCGACTCTTGAGCCCCGCTCTAAAGATCAAGCCTTACCGCATCCCTCTTCGACTCCAGCGCTTGTACCTCACTGCCCCTATCATGGTCAAGTGGACAACCCCATTCATACTTATCAAGGCAACGAGAAGCGAACTCGCACCTTTACAAATATGGTGGCCCTGCTTAGCGAGAGACGAGTCTAGGTCGCTACCCCAGATGCGCTCTCACTAAGCAGTAGTTGCTTCACCTGGCCATCACAGCCTCAGCGAGGTAGCAAGTCCTTTCCTCTTTTCTCAACAGATAATGTAGTTACTCTCCCATCACAGGAGAGACAACAACACCCCACTAATGGACCAGGAACATAGTTCCAGCGTGGGTCTCACTATCAGTTTCGAGACTAATAACCGCTTCCTTAAGCCTCACCGAGGGAGTAAGAACCCAAGAATGCACTTCCACTGAGGACTAATTATACACGCCGACGAACCCCTTTTCGGAAGAACCACCTTCCACAAAAGCAAGTCATCCCATTCACCCCTGATCCCATGCCAGACGTGGGTTTCATGCAGAATCTATGTCCTTGTGAAAGGCAATCCATACATACGCTATTAATCAGACATCAAACAAAACATAATAAAAACACGCATATAGAGACAACCAAATAAACCATCATAAACGCAATATTAACACACAGGCCTCTTTTCGGACTAACCAACTGATACCAAAAAAATAAGTACTTTTAAAGTTTCACTGGTAGTCAGCTAGAAAATCCCTAAATAATTCAACTCATTGTCAACTGACACTATCAGAAGGCCCAGGCATGGTACTGGTCGCAGTAGTACGGCCGCACCTATCATATCACGTCTCAGTCCGAGCTCAAGGAAATATTCTTACAATTTCACTTCTCCCTCCGCACTTTATCAGTCACCCCCTCACCCATGATGTTCTCGTATCAACAACTTTCTCTAACGCAGGGGTCATTTGACTAGGGGAGACGCTCCATCTTAACTTGACTATCCCCCCAAGGCAGGCTTAACACAACAATCACGTAATATGTCAATTAGTCTTGGATTCCAATCATAGGCATACTTAGCAATGACTGTGCCACCTTACTTATTCCTAGTCGAGTCGAGCCCGCAAAGCATTACCCAAACTTATCAATCACTGAAGTCAAAGAGCCTTTTATCTCCACTTAATCGCACACTAGTCAGTGCTCACAACGCATAGCCAAGACGCTTATCGATCTCAAGTAACCCTTACTGCATCACTCAAACCCCGCTCACGAGATTAACCCTTGCTTCGTGCTTTATCCTATACCATATACGATCAACCATTCCTCCTAACCCAGTCAATTGAGCAGAAGCGGTCATTGTCCGCAGATTATCAACCTGCTTCGAATCAAGGCTCGATTTCTAGGGACCTCTTAGTCTTTATGGTACCTCCAGCGATAGTCAAAATATTAGCCAATCGCTCAAACAAGTCTACCAAAACTTCGCATTTGTCTATTTCTCACTTCCATACCCGGATGTCGTTCCACCAGGGACAACGATAGGCAACCGTTATCCCCGGCAACGGCGCCACCTGTCGAGCGCATCGATCCGACACCTCACGAGGCAGCGCGGGACCCTCCCGACCGCGTCACGCAGGAGTTGGTTTATATCCTTCGTCACAAAAATATATATGAAGTTTCCGCAAGCCGCTCCGGCCGAGTGCGCCAGCCATACCTCTCGCGAGCCCCTCCGACAGGATAGGGCCTACGCGAGGCACGACTTACCTCCACCTTACGGGAGTTGTCACCTCCCTTCGGTGGGTGTATCCCCGCCGAGCTACCAGTCCACAGTACGAAAGCTAATGAGCTGCAATCGCAGAGGTGGACCAGCCGATGGCGTTTCTCGTTCGCTGTAGCATAGGGGGTACGCGCGGTAATACGCCTCTATCGGACCCGCACGTGAACCGACATCTTGGGGGGCTGAGGTCCCAAGCGCGACTCGTCGTCGGTCGACTAGGACGCATCCCACACACCACACGCACACCACTTTACGAATCACAAAAATAAGACATACACACACACCTATGAAACGACACAACACAAACAAATGCGACA